AAACTCTATGATTTTTGTGGCAAATTTAAATTTTTCACAAATACTTTTTGTAACGGGGTATCTGTGGCAACTTTGTGGCAAATTCAAGAATTACTATAAATAGTTGTTGTGACTAATTTTTTATGTTTTGTGGCAAAAGTTGGTGTAACAAAAAGTCATATTTCTTGTAGTGTAATATCTACCTTCTTACATTAAGTTTCAATCCTAAGTTCATTTCCTCTCTTGCCATAAGGATTGCTCCTTAGGATTCTTAAATGTACAAGATCTTGGAAAATTAGTGCCAATTTTTTTAAAATGAATTTTATGTTTCGGTACAACCTCGTCCTAATTAGAACTTAGAACTTTGGGACTGAAAAATGATAGAATTTATTTTAGACCTTAAGAACACAATAGGAATTATTTCCCTTCAGTGCATAGATTTTATTTTAGGCCACCTTTATGGACTTAGCCAAAACAAAACAGTTACTCCCTTTACCCAACGTGTTTGGTTCAATTGAAAATGGTACGGTTTTGGTTCATTGGTAAATGATAAAAAGTTTTCAACGTTTCAAAATTCAATTTTTCTTGGAAGTTGAAAATCATTTATTTTTACCGTTCCAACCTCCCACATGGAACTCGTGAACCACCCCCTCTTCTCTCCTCAACCTGTTTAAAGCGAGTCAATCCATATCCATTTCCATCACAACAAATTCTCAATATGAAAAGTCTTTAAACTCACTACCAGAGAAAAACACCTACAAAAATCTCTTCAATGGAGAAGTTCTTCCTCACTCTCATAGACGGTAATGAAGAAAGCCTTGTAGGTAGAAAAGATATTCAAGGTTTATGGTGATAATCTTGCATTTTTGAATTTCGGCATACACCTTCTCTAGATCAACACTCTCCTTACGCCTATAATCCTCCTTTTTCTTTTCTACACTTTTTATGCCCTCCTCTTCTCTCCATTTCTACCTCTACCTCACTTTCTCCCTAAATAGATTATAATTTTTTTTCTCTCCTCTCAATAACTTTTGTTTGTTTACGCGATTTTATTAAGTATTTGATAAAATAAAATATTCTTGTCACTTCTTGTTTTGTAGAACTTTTGACGTAGTTTTTAATATGTAATTTTTATATCTTATTGATATACCAATTTGTAAATAAAATTATTTTTAAAAATAAGAAATTTTACTCTGTAACCCGTAATTTGTAATCAAATTGGGTACGAAAGGAGTAGTATTTATTGGTGTTTTCTTTGACAGAGTTTTCTTGTTGCATTCACTGGTGAGCATAGTTACTAGTTAGGTTATCAAAAGTGTGCATTGTATTTGGCTGGTGTAACATATACCTTTTGGCTTATCTATTTTTCAGGTAGAACTATCATGTCCATGTGGAAGGCATCAATATCAATGGGCAACCTCTGCAAATTGACCCAGACATCTTTGGCAACCAACGCACAATACTTGATTTTGGAACTTATTTTGTATACCTATAAGAGGAGGATTTTCCGCCATTAGTTCATGTGGTATGTTTTAACAGAGCTAGAACTTGCATGACAAGAAAACAATTATTAAGATGTGACATGGAAATTGATATGCAAGTCTAGTCTAGATTATGACCAAACACTGAATTGTACTTTTTTGTTTACAAAGATGGACCATAGTGCTTCAACATATGCAAGTCCTACTAGTATCACTCCCGTGCGTTGCACGGCTATTATTTTTAATATGAAATTATTTAATCACTTTATTATTTAAAAAGTAAAATTAACAACAAATAGGTTATTAAATCAAAATATAAAATTTAAAGAAATTTGACGTTTGATTTTTTGTGAACTACATTGTTATCGCTATAAAAAACCCGACATTAGAACTACAGTTAATAGGTACACAACGAAATTTATGTAGTATTTAGTACGTAATGAAGTAAAAATATGCATAAAATTACTTTCCCAAATACAAATATATAGTACGGAGTAATTAAAAAATATAAACTTAAAACTAAGAACTTTGCATATTACCAATTTGAACAATTACATTGGGTTAGAATTTACAAACAAATACATTAAATAAGTAATGCAATATATCAATTTTATTGATTGCATTTGAAAATTGCAGCCATTTAAAATTTGGATCATTTTTATGATTTACAAATAATCTTGAAAGTTGAATCACACATTATATTATTTCTATCTAAATAATTGTGACAATTCTACATATGAAATGAATTTTAAAACTTTAGTACTAAAATTATTTTTAAACTTGGGTAGAAACTAAAAATTAATACTCCCTCCGTCCCAAAAAGATTTACACGTTTCAAAAAAATTGTGACTCACAATCCCTTACCCATTTCTATTAAAAAATCACTTTTACCCCTTACTTTTTCAAACCCTACCTATCACATCATACTTTTTTTCTAATAATCTACATATCACATCATACTTTTACCCATCACATCAAGGGTATTTTTGGAAAGTCAATACAAAATTATCCGTCCCTTAATTTCTACTTTAATCAAAACGTACCCATCTTTATGGGACGGAGGGAGTAGATGATAGAAATCCACAGGTGGAGCAAATATTTATACATGCTAGAAGGGATTTGAAAAGGAAATAGACGTGAAAAAATTTTCATTATAAATAATGACATTATGTATGGTAATTAATTATAAATGTACAATAATATTTACGTTTCTAACAGATTTTGGTTACCTTTTATGTTTTACACTAACTATTATAATTCTTCATTTGGGAAGTTTATGATTTTTTTGTTTGTGACTCTAGTATTATTTTTTTTTTTATTTAGAACACTCCATTTATTTAGAACATTTATTTACTTACCATTAGTGTAATCCTCCATGTACCATGTTGTATCAAAACTTACCATTTTATTTAGAACTCTCCATTTATTTAGAATATTTATCTACTTACCATTACCGTATTCGTCCCCATTTTATTTAGAATAGTCCATTTAATTAGAATACTTATTTATTAACCATTACCGTATTCCTCCAAGTACCGTGCAGCAAAATTAACATTTAATTTCGGACTATTATTATTATTATTAATGGTACCATTTAATAAGGCCACCTGTTATATGGTTATTAATGATCCTGACATTTTTAGTCATTAATTACGTTACCATTTACGTAGTACATTTTACACGGTCACAATTTTACATGTTCACATGTATTTTTATTCATTAACGTAATTTATGTTACAAATTATACTCATGATAAACTATAATGGGAACATAAATAATTACACATGGTCAAAGTCCCAAGCTTAAAAGCAGGGGATTTTCGCCTCAAGCTTTTCCCGCCCAAAGCATATTCATTCAGCACCATTGATTTTATTAGATCTATGGTTGTCCTTCTTCTTCGTAAACTACCAATTTAATAAATTCTATTTAAGGTATCACAATTAACTCTCCCATATTGGAATTAATGTGGCATACTAATTCATCATGAAATATTCTGTGGTATTAAATCGTCCCATTTCTAAAATTAATAAACAAAATTGGTAAACTTTGATCTCAAATTATATAAAAATAAATGGAAACATGATACAAAATTGATATTAGATATTGTTACAAAATTGGTCAAAATTGGTAAAATTTGACCTCAAATTAAATAAAAATGATATTAGATATTGGTACAAAAAGAGTTTATTAGATTTATTATATCAAATATTTTCAATATATATTGTATTTAATTAAAATACAATGTATATTTTATTTAATTATAGGTCAAAGATTGAAAACAGTAGACCGAAAAAAGTCAAAATTGGACAAATACTCAGAAACAGAAGTAGTATAAATATTTGCTCCACCTGTAGATTTCTATCATCTATTGATTTTAGTTTTTACCCAAGTTTAAAAATAATTTAAATGTTTCCTTTCTTAATTTTTTTCCTTTTTTTTTAATTTCTTCATTTTATTTAATTACTGGTTTTACATCATTTTCCTTTCTTAAATCTTACCTTAAACATAGATCCCATATAATTATTACTTAAGAGCTGCTTTTTTTCTTTCTTAGTTCTTTTCCTTTTAATAATCCACGGAGCATTTGTTGTAAATTGTGCCTTTTTTCAATATTAGCATAATTAGACAATTTGATATTTGGTAATGCATAAGAACCGTAGATCCAATAACATATTTTTAAAATCAACATCTTTACTTTTTTATATCACTTAATTCTTTCGAAGTGATCCATGTTTCTCTACTGATTTTTATTCTTACCATTTTTATCCTGCGGTTTCTATTACTATTCCAATGAAATATCCATAATAATAATCAATCGTTGATCAAGATGTCAAAGCTAATCAACGGTTCACAATGACAAGTTGTTTGGGCGGGAAAAGCTGGGCCAAAATTCCCCTGCTTTTAAGTATAGATAGATTAGACAATTTGATATTTGGTAATGCATAAGAACCGTAGATCCAATAACATATTTTTAAAATCAACATCTTTACTTTTTTATATCACTTAATTCTTTCGAAGTGATCCATGTTTCTCTACTGATTTTTATTCTTACCATTTTTATCCTGCGGTTTCTATTACTATTCCAATGAAATATCCATAATAATAATTAATCGTTGATCAAGATGTCAAAGCTAATCAACGGTTCACAATGACACGTTGTTTGGGCGGGAAAAGCTGGGCCAAAATTCCCCTGTTTTAGGTATAGATAGATTTTCCTTTCTTAAATCTTACCTTAAACATAGATCCCATATAATTATTACTTAAGAGCTGCTTTTTTTCTTTCTTAGTTCTTTTCCTTTTAATAATCCACGGAGCATTTGTTGTAAATTGTGCCTTTTTTCAATATTAGCATAATTAGACAATTTGATATTTGGTAATGCATAAGAACCGTAGATCATAGCTAATCAACGGTTCACAATGACACGTTGTTTGGGCGGGAAAAGCTGGGCCAAAATTCCCCTGCTTTTAAGTATAGATAGATTCCTACATAAAACTGCTCTTGGATACCCCATATTTTGAGAAACTTTTTTTTTTGAACCAAGCACAAATAAATCTTTATTCCAAACACAACAGTAATAACAATAGACTAACCCCATACAGACTAAACCAATCTAACAACTCCAAAAACCATCTAAATCCTTTTCCCTACCCTTTTACCCTCAAGTGATAAACCAACAATTTCACTAATACACCGAAATGTAAATTCCTCCTTGATTCTTTTGCCCTTATAAATCTTCTCGTTTCTAGCCTTCCAGATAAAATAGCAACATGCTGTAATGTATGCAGCCATGCGCCATTTCTATTTCCTGCCTCTTCCCAGCTCCATCTTCTTCCCCAGTTCCTTAACGGAATCAGCCTGCATTTCAACATTAAGCACACTTGCCATATTCTCATGAATTGCTTTAGCATATGTACAAGAGCAGAAAATGTGATCAGCAGATTCCATCTCTTTTTCACATAGCACACACGTGGTATCGATAGGTAGGAATTTGCTAAGCCTATCCTTTGTTTGGATCCTCCCTTTCCATATGAGCCAGGCAATAATCTGATGCTTGGGTACTGACCATCTGCTCCAGACCACCTCTGCCCAGTCCACTTTCATCCTGATTCCTTTAAGCCGGTTGTAGCCCTCCTTCACAGTGTAGCCATTGGCTGTGTTCATCCCCACAAAAAGCCTTCTATTTTGGATCAGTTTTTTCCAGTAGTAACAGTCATCATTCTTCACATTGCATTCCCAGATTGTTCCTTGCTTGAGGTATTTGCTGTGCACCCATCTAACCCACAGTGAGTCCTTCTTATTAGCAATATCCCATAAGAGTTTCATTGAGCAAGCTTGATTCCAGAATAGCAGATTTTTCAGCCCAAGCCCCCCCTCCTGTTTGGGAAGGCACACTTCCTCCCATTTGATTAAGGGGCATCTTCTGTGTACTGGACCAGAACTCCAAAGGAAATTTCTGCACAATGCCATTACCTTTCTCATGACTGAATTTGGCAGTACAAAGATCCTACTCCAAAAATCAGCAATACCATAGAGGACTGAGTTGATCAGCTTAGTTCTCCCTGCATAAGAAAGATGCTTAGTAGCCCAAGAAGTAATTTTCAGGGACATTTTTTCAACCAGTTTATCACATTCTTTCTCACAATGCGAGAATCTGAGATAGGAGCTCCCAAATATCTTAATGGGAAGGATCCTAAGGACATATTTGTCTTATGCAGGATACTTTCCCACATACACCTGGGACTTATCATAATTGAGTTGCAAACTTGTGGTTTGTTTGAAATGATTAAGGCCAGCAGCTAGTACACAGTCAATAGAAGGGAGATCACCCCTACAAGCCACAATAAGGTCATCTGCAAAAACAATATTGATAAGTTTCAGATTCTTGCATCTAGGATGGAAACTGAAACTGCCCCTGTTAGAAAAGTAGCTGAAAGTTCTTGTTAGGTACTCCATAATAAGGGTAAATAAGAGGGGGGACATTGGGTCCCCTTGTTATATTCCTTTCCCTCTTTTGAAAAATCCAAACACCTCACCATCAAGTTGTACTGAATAGGCTGCACTAGTAACACAGAACCTGATCCACTCAATAAACTTATTAGGGAACTTCAAAGCATCCATAATCTGAAGCAAGCTCTTCCAGCTAACAGAGTCATATGCCTTCCTCAAATCCAATTTCATAATACACCTTGGACTGATTCCTTTCCTTTTATATCCTCTAACTAACTCTTGGCAAAGAAGGACATTGTGTACCAACTCCCTGCCCTCTATAAAAGCACCTTGGTTGCTATTAATGATATGGGGGAGGACAGCTCTAAGCCTATTGCAAATGATTTTGGATATAACTTTATATACCACATTGCAGCAAGAAATAGGTATGAAGTCCTTTGGGCTTTCAGGACTATCCACCTTTGGGATAAGGCTGATATTAGTATGGTTAATCTGTTGGAGGGATAAACCATTTTGAAAGAATTCAAGAACAGACTTAGTCACCAGCTTACCAATCACTGACCATTGGTTCTTAAAAAATCCACTGCTATAACCATCAGGCCCCGGGCTTTTACAATTCGGAATTTCAAACAAACATCTCTTTATTTCCTCCTCAGTTACAGGAGCTATGCATTTTAGCTGTTGTTCCACACAGAGCATTTTTCCTTCCCCAATGACCTCCTGAAGGATGTCTTCTATCCACTCTGTCTTGCCCAACAGTTTCTGGAAATAATCCACCATCACCCCAGCAATGTTTGTCTTCCCTTCAATCAGATTCCCATTTGAATCCTTAATAGTATTAATATGGTTATTCATTCTCCTTTTCTTGATCCAAGCATGAAAGAGTTTTGAGTCTTTATCCCCTTCCAGGACCCATTCTTGCTTAGCCTGTTGATTCTTCATGAGTCTAGCAGCCTTCAGTTTCCATGTCAATTCCTTGATTAATTCTATCTCCTTTGTTATTAGATGTTCACACTTCATGTTCAACCTGAGTGCCTCTTGTACTTGGCTTAGCTCTTCCCTCAGCAGATTACATTGTTGGTAAATATGGCCAAATTTTCTCTTATTCAGTCCCCTCAATAAAGGTTTTAGCATTTTCAATTTCTTGTATAGTTGGAACATAAATCTGCCCTCCATCTTCTGGGTCCAGACATTCTGGACAATCCTGGAAAACTGAGGATCAAGACACCACATATCACAAAACTTAAATGGAAAGTTCCCTCTCTCCATAGAACATTCTTTCACCAGTAGGGGAAATGATCAGATAAACCTTCTTCCTTAATGATGACCTTAACATCAAAAGTGCTGAACCATTCTACATTTGCAAACACCCAATCTATTTTTGAAAATATCCTCTTTCTTGGAACTTGCCTATTAGACCAAGTGTATTTAGCACCCTCACTTGGGACTTCCTCCAACCCACATGTTTGGATGCATTGTTTAAAGTCTTTGGTCTCTTCTAGTGAGACTGGGTTGCCACCAATTCTGTCCCCCATACCCAAAATGCTGTTAAAATCTCCTAGGACACACCATGGTTTATCACAAGAAGATGCTATACCCATAAGATCATTCCACAGGTTACATCTTTTAGCAGCCTCATTGTTTCCATACACAAAAGTTATATAGAACTCTTTAACTTCACCAAATCTTCTACATTTACAGTGAACCCATTGGTCAGAAAAGCCCACAATATCAACCTTCATTCTATCCGGTTTCCATAACACCCATATTCTACCCAGTGGATGAGCAGAATTATTAATAACAGAGTTCCACCCCTGACCAACCTTCATTTCTATTGTACTAAAATTACAACTCCTTATTTTAGTTTCTAATAGCCCACATATATCAACTTTATTTTTATTTAAGAAAAGCTTAACATCCTCCTGTTTATTAGGACTGTTAAGTCCTCTCACATTCCAGCTTCATATCATTTAAGGAAAGGGAGGTGCCCTTCATAATGGGCCTTCTCTAAAGCTTTTTGAAGACTACTCAGCAGATCACCTTCATCCTCTAATACAATCCTCCTGGATGCTTTCTTTCCACTGACTTTAGTAAAGCCTTCCTCTGTCAGATTACTTTCTGTTGGAATAGGTTCCTCTTCATGTTTGCCCTCTTCTTGAATACTCTCCGTATGGCCATCCTTCAATTCTTCTCCATCTTAGTTCCCTTTAGTTTCTTTGGCCTCCATATCATTCTTCTTGGATTATCAACTTGCTTTTTCATTTCCTTTTTCCTACATGTCTCTTGCAGGTGCCCCAGCTTCTTACAGTGATCACAGATACAGGGGTACCATTCATAGTCAATTCTTTGTGTTATAGCTCTCCCATCTTCATTTATAAACACAACTTCCTTAGGGAAGTCCTGGTGGACTCGAACCTCAATTTGAATCCTGGCATAAGCATATTTGGTTTTCCTAGCAGTTGATTTGTCTCTCTTTATGGGTTTCCCAATGAGACTACCCAGCTTGCTTAGACCCGAGAGACTCCAGTATTTGACATCTAGGTCAGGAAATTGCACCCAGATTGGGACATCAGTTAGATCCTCAACATTGATCTTCTTTCCTGGTTTCCATTGTTGGACAAATACTGGTTTATTGTCAAAGTAATAGTATCTCCTTTTGGTTACTTCCTTCATATCATCCTCTCTATTGAAGGTTACAATATATTGTCCATCCTTAAGCACATCCACAACATCAATAGGGAAATCTTTCCATATACGATTAACATATCCTTTAACCACTTCTATGGGTGGGTTGGCCCCCAGAATGCAACACACAATCGTTGTTTTCCATATATCCGATGAATCAATAACATCATCTGCAGTGATTTGAGCAACTAAATTCCCATTTACCTCAATCGCAGGGATATACTTCAGAGATGTATCCTGATCCGCAATTCCAGCCACTATCTCAGCATAGGAAGGAATTGGATCTAGTTTCACCCTTTCCTCAGCAATCTCCTTTTCTTCACCAGATCCCCCATCAGCATTATCAGAGCTCTGGTGGTTTGGAACTTCAGTCCCTATGTTTTGATCAGTCGGAGTCGTGGTCAGATTCGTCACTCCCAAAGGTGTTTGATTAGGCGTCGCCGTAGTCTTCTTCTTTGGTCTACCTCGTCTCCTAGAAACTAACTGTAAGGTACCTCACTTTTTCAAAATATACTCCAAGTACCTTCTATTTTGAGAAACTAACTATCAGGTACCTCACATTTTTAAAATAGTACATGATAATATTGTTTGTCTGATATAGGAATTGGCAGAAAACTGCTCTTTGGTACCCCATATTTTGAGAAACTAACTGTCAGGTATCTCACATATTCAAAATATACTCCGGGGTACCTTCTATTTTGAGAAACTAACTATTAGGTACCTCACATTTTTAAAATATACTCCGAGGTACCCTCTA